GCTTATGGTGCACGCCTTTAGCCAGGGGCTCCCTTTCTTTCCGGGGGATGTGGGCGCTGGCAGGAAAAGTGTGCCTCGTGTTTACCTGCTGTAAATCAGGCGCATGTGAGCACACGCACATACACACACGAAGCCAAATTAGTAACTGTTTTAATCCAAGTGGCGGCTCCTAGCTGTTCATCCATCACGACGAAAATCTTCATAAGAGGGTCCTTGCACGGTCTTCTAGCCGTACACACTCGAGCTCTGTTCAAAATGATGGTAAATGTAGAATCTGTTAGGCTTATTTTCAGGATAGTTAAGGTTATAATTGGACTTATTTCATTAGAAGACTGCACTTACGTAAATTTTTATTACCATTGCTCTGTTCCATTAGTTCTTTTACTTATGAGGGGTTGGGCAGGGTGACCTTTATATGACCTCAAGTGCTAAGAGTCTATGGCTATTCTAAATATTTTACCTGTAAAATCTCACTTTGTCCTCAGAGCTACCCAATGATTCAGTCACTATCGTTAGATAATATTAACAGTTGAATAAATGAAGGCACAGACAGGTTAAGTTAGTTGTCCAGTACGACACAATACTCAGTAAATTAAGCCCAGAATTCCACTAAGGCAGCCTGAGCGAGGAGCTGTAATCTCTATCTTCTGCTTCCTTCTATTACATGTTTTTCAGGCATTGGAAACCCATTCACATCTTACAGATTTGATTTCCATTTACTTTCTTAATAATTCTGGTTACATTTTTAAAAGTTTGTTTAATTGGAGGGAGGAAAAGGCATGCAGAAAATTCATGCAANATTGGAGGGAGGAAAAGGCAGAAAATTCATGCGATATAATTTGAAACCTTACCAGTATAGAGACTTCCTTCTCTCTCTGGAAGNGTTGGAGGGAGGAAAAGGCATGCAGAAAATTCATGCAATATAATTTGAAACCTTACCAGTATAGAGACTTCCTTCTCTCTCTGGAAGATGTCTTTTCAGTTATCTATTCATCATATACTGTGAGAAGAGAAAATCAATTTACCTTTTCAAATTCTTTCTAAGAAAAGTTAATGATGACTCACCTAATATTTTAAAGTGCTAAACACAAAATATTTATAAATAATCATATGAGTTCTATTCTGAGGTTTTAATGTTACTGTTATTTTAAAATTTAGAGCTCAAGTGACTTCACGTATTACCAACTTGGGTATAATTTTTTTTTTTTGTAAATGTCTTTATTGATTTCAGAGAGAGGAAGGGAGAGGGAGAGGTAGAAACATCAATAATGATAGTCATCAATGAGCTGCCTCCTGCACCCCCCTTCTGGGGATTGAGCCCTCAACCCGAGCATGTGTCTTGACCGGGAATTGAACCGAGACCTCCTGGATCAAAGGTTGATGCTCAACCACTGAGCTACACTGGCCAGGCTTGGGTATAAATTTGACAAATAAGAAAAGGTCAAACCTTATGTGGTGGCCACAAGACTAGTCTCCAGCGAGAGAAAACCGTGGATGCTCAGTGACTCCCTAACCCAGCAATTCATCTTCTGAATTTAATTCTAGAGAAGTTTGGCCCAAGTACCAAGGACCAAGAGGGGTGATATTACCCCCACTCCTGGAAGCTGACACTGTGGACGAGGAGCATCATGGTCAAACCCCACACTGTGTATAACATTTTTCAGGTTCCATAGTTTTCTACTCCGTAAGTCAAAAGTCTGCTTATTCTGTCTTGAATAAACACTCATAAGACAGGTTACCAGGAACCTCCCAATTTGTAAGTCCAAAGGACACTCGTGAATCTCTCCCCAACCATATGCAGACCTTCCTTTCTTGATGTAGATAGCCCCTGTCTCCCACTTTTCCATCTTTTTCTCAGTTCCTTTTGAAGAATCCTGTTTCCTTAACTCAGTCCTTTAATACAGGCATTTCCCCCTTGGGCTTGGAGAGTATTCTTCTGGGCGCAAAAGCATCCTGCCTTGGGAATTTTATTACATTTTATTCCCTATGATGAACTTAGTGTAACTAATTGCCTCAATCAGTGAATACATAATTGTTATCATTGTTTCTACCTAAAATAATAAATACTCAATCTTGTGCTCTTTTCAGAGCATTTCTCCAGCGCAGTCTGCTGTGGAATTTAACGCAGAGGGAGAACACCCTGCAGCATGCTCTGCGGCCCTGGGCTCTGGCTTCAACCCTAGGAAGCACTCCAGGCCCCTCCTCAAATAGCTTTTGACACAGTTCAGCACCCTGTTACCGCCCAGGCAATTTCTACATAACAAGACCTAGGAGCTGGCAGTGGAGTGTGTATGTGCTGGACATTTCCCTTGCCCCTGTGAGGTTTACCCTGCTTCTCATTCAGATTTACTGTTCTGTCCCGAAGGCCCAGAGCAGCACAATAATCTGGATGTTCCCCCGAAGTTATTTTTAATGTAATTATAAAGGACCTTGCAGTACCCTTTTCTCAGTCGTATTTGATCTAAAAATGTTTGTGGTCCAATTGCCCAGGTGAAAAGTGGGGCCCTGGTTCTGACTTCAGCTGGGGTTTCAGGGTCCAGGCCTGGGCAGGGGAGTGTCTGCCAGGAGCCAGGAGTGATGAGCTGAAGGAAGCCAAGATTTGGGTCCCGGGTAAGAGAGTGCCTTGTAGCTAAGGGAGAGATTCAAGAATCCAGTTGAGAAGGGTGAATAGAGGATCAGCCAACTAGGTGAGAGGAAGTGAATTAATTTGGGAAAAGTTCACAAGGATTCCTTCAGGCAAAGGTCATCTTTTGTTGAGTTGCTTTCCTGGAGTAGGAGTTGGGGGAACTGGGAAGGCTATTAATATCCAGTTTGGGTTGGAAATTTTAACTCTTCTCTGTCAATATCGTGGTTTTACCCATCCTAGACTATTGAAGCTACAAGAATGTGTCTTTAGAAAGGAGAACAATGAAATCTGCTGTCATTTTTTCTACTCATACTTAATTTTGATGCCTGGAATAGTAAGGGAAAGACTCCAGCTGTGAGTTACCAAAAGTCTAGGCATCTCATGAAATAAGTTAAAACACTTGTCAGTATTCCTACCTTGAGTAGGAAAGGTGTATGGTCTTCCAGCAATACAGAATCGGGGGCTGTTCAAAACGATGGTAAATTTAGAATTAGTAAGGTTTATTTTCAGAATAGTTAAGGTTATAATTAGAATTAGTTTATTTCATTAGAAGACTAAAGTTATGCAATTTTTAAATTACCAACCCTCTAATAAAGCTCTCCTTTTATTTATCCAGCAGGAGAATTAAAGTGTTTGAGTGAGAACAACACAATTAAAATTAATGGACTATCATTAAAATATCAATAAGTTAATAATAAAATGAACAATTGCTTGTTTCTTGTCTGTGTCCCCTTAGTAGGGTGTAAACTCCACGAAAGTAAGAATTTGGCCTTTCTTGTTTACAATTATATCTCTAGTGACAACACAGCCGAGGGCATAATACACACTCGATACGTATTTGCTGAAACAGACGGGAGTCAAGCAGGAACTGAGTAGATGAGCAGTTAAACATTTATATTCTCTAACATTTGAAACTTTCAAAAGTGCTTTAACTTTTAAATCATATCTGCTGAGTAACAAGAATGTTAGATCCAATGTAGTAATCAGTTCGTCATTCAAGGGCATTTTTTAAATGAAAGGTGGATGTTTCTGGAACCCAACCAAGATCTGTGGATCATGAAGTGAAATAAATCCTTAGTAAGACAAATTCTTCTAACAGAATACAGTGCTCATTGAATTAACGAGGCTTAGGAGATCTCTAGAGGAAACTGAAGAAGAGAGGGGGGTGGATGGCAGAGCGAAACCAGAATGGAGTACAGTTGTTGGGCCATATTTGCAGAAAGGCTTCAGGGATTTCCTTTTTGCCTCTTAGTTTTACTTACTTATTTCTATTACATGTATCGGGGTGACATTGGTTAACAAAATTATGCAGGTTTCAGGTGTACAATCTATGTCATGTCTGTATATTGCACTTTGGGGTTTCCTTTTAAACTGCAGGTAGAAGAGGCTTCAGTGATGGATGTTTGCTCAGGACCCTGTTCTCTCACGGGTATTATTTGCCACTTTATTCATAAGCATATGCAAAAAAGTGATAACACGTATTAGACACCAGGATTTGGGGAAGAAAACGTATAAAAGAAAAAAACAACATGTTTGCCACAACCTCTTAAACCACACATGCAATGTATACTATTGGTTCTTCCTTCTGAATATATTTATGTTCCGGAGGGTAAAGAATAAGAAGTGATCTTATTCCAACATACCCTGTCTTTTATATTTGTATGTTAATAAACAAGGAGATAAAGGCTCAAAGCCAGAAAAATACAAAAATCCTATACAAAGTAGAGGTCTTAGGTAAGCAAGTAGGATATGTGGCCAACCCTTACCTTTTTATAGGCACATTTTACTTATAGGAGGGCTTTTTAGCATGCACCTGTCTTATTGATGGGTCCTTTTAGAAAAGGTGCACAATCTGAAGAAAGAAAAATAATGCCATGCTGGGCTGACGGATAATGGAGAAAGACAAATCTCTTGACATGTGTGGACTATGGGAATACTTTCCATACTTCTGTGAACCCCTTTTGAAAAAATTACTTGAGGATGTACTCTAGTAAAAGGGAAAAAAATCAATTCTAAAAAGAGGAAGATATAAGACCCAAAAAACTCTTCTAACTCAGTAGAGCACTGAAAATAAACTAAGTTTTATAAACTAGAACAGGGTGTCAGGACTTTTAGAAGAATGCCTATAAGAAGAAAGTGAATATATATTTACCAAATAGTAAGATGAATAATCACAGTGATGGGAATAAAGATACATGTGTCTTTCTTAACAAGAAATAATGAAGGTAATTGAAAACTCTAGGAAATGCAAAGGCTGTACAGAAAAAGCACAATATAAACATGAAACAAGCCGAAGTGAAGCATATGATGTGAGAAATGGAGAGTAAGCAAAGAGAATCAATTTGATCCGGACACTAGTTACTTCTCTGTCAAGCATTCTGGGTTAGCGACAGAATTACATTTCCTATTTCCATTTTGGTTCTTTACAAACAATATTTATACAATCATAATATGTTCTATTCTTTTTATTCACTTAAAAATTTTAGATTCAAACTATAGAGTAAGCATTTCGTGGTATAAACATAGTTACAGAATAGAATGTAAATATACACTTGAAAAGGTCAAATGAGTGAGAAAGTTTACAGAGTTTAGAAGATAGAGGAGGAGATGATAAATAGAAAGATGTATAGGGTTCCAAATTTTCTTATCTTAAATAATGGGAGCAATATGGAAACAGACATTATGAATGCTATAATTACTATTGCAATGAGCAGAAGCATCAGGAATCTAAACACAGCAACTGAGATTATAAAAAGAAATATATTTTATACTCAAAGTAAAAAAGATAACCAACAGAAGAAATATTACTAATCTTAAGAGCTAATAATTACTATTCAAAAATAAAATGATAACAGCAAAATAACAAAAAATATAGATAGTGCAAGATAAGTTTTTCAGCTTTCATGATAAGGGGTCAAAAGATAACATCTAAAATTAATAAATCATGAAAAGGAGATATAACCATATTGTTCAAATATATTGAGGTAACCGAAAGAAGAACCACAAATAAAATCATACTAAAAAGATTACTTCTGGTGAGTAGGTATCAGAGGTGGAGTAGAGGGTGGGAAAGTTAAATGTTTCATTTTATAATATTCTGTACTTTTTGAACTTTTTCCCTTATCATATGGATATATTATTTTTATTACATTGAAAAGGTAGAAAATTTCTGATAACTAGCTTAGCATTTTCTTCAATGATATTATCCCAAAGTACATTCTTACTAAGGACACAATGAACATACTCCTGCAGGTAATAATGAAAGATGCAGCAATGCCAAATGAATGCTATAATTATTATTGCGATGAGCAGAAGCATCAGGAATCCGAACATGTCAACTGAAATTATAAAAAGAAATATATTTTAAGTTAACAGAAGACGAATAATGTCTCATGTTTTCATCTTTTCTAGTACCACACAGTCTGATTCTTAAGTACAGATTCAGTCGTTTCTGAAGCTACAATAGCATACATTGCATACTCCAATCAAATCACCATTAGCACAGCGGTCACTACCATCTTAAAATAATTTGGGTTGCTAAAAGGAGGTAACATTATCTCCAAATTGGTAAACTATTAGGCCACTGGCTATTTTTTCCTTTATTTTATCCAAGTTGCCTTCAGGTTTGTATGTAGATATCAGGGGATGCTTTGTTTTTTGGGATTCAGCAGTTCCTTATCAAAGAGACAAGAAGTGTTTGCTGGGAAAACATATTTCTAGCACTTGCAATCTCCCCCCACCCTTTCCGCATGCTATGTGTAACTGTAAGGGCAGAACACGAAGTAGGAGACTAGGGTTACCCATCACACTAAATATATGAAGTGTTACTTGTTTATAAACTCTTTGCTACAAACAATTATGATTTTAATATACCTAATAGTACCTACAGAAAACAGGGACTTGAGGGCAAAATGTATGTTTTTTCATTTCAGTTAAGAAAAAGACAGACAGCTGGTTGCTCTAGATCGTCAGGGTTCCCAGGAAGTCTTCTGTTTTAACTCTCTTTGAAAACTTCTTAAAATGTTCTAATACATCTCCCTGCCTTGGTAGTTACCGTATAACAAAACCAAAATATAACATGATAGATATAATTTAAAGATTCTTTGATGATTGAGATATGTTCAGTCCTAGGGAGTCATTGTTCTGAATGGCAATTCTCAGGAAAAAATACATTAGCTGGGGAAATAGAAGTTATAGTTATGCTACTGGACTCAATGTGTCCTCACCCCAGGACTAGTTTATAAAAAATTCATGGAGTTCCTAAAACAACATAAGAATATAATCCACCCGTCTCTGGGTTATGGTTATCGTACACTAGAATAGAGATGAAATTTAAAGTATTTAACAACTGGTACAGTAAGGCACCCACCGATCAGAATGAATGTTGACCTAGTTGACCCAACAAAGGCTGGAAAATCTAGTATCAGCCCATATTAGGGGAAACACCGATGAACAAACTTGCTATTATTATTATTTTTTTAATTTTATTATTGAAAGTATTACAGATGTCCCCCATTTCTCTCCTTGCTATTATTTTAATAAAGCAAATATAATAATTTATAATCCTTCAACTGTAGCAAATCACTAGTACTTGCAAGTTAATTTTTAAAAGTACGCAAAAATTCAAATACGGACAACTCACCGTTACAGCTTAACCAAAATGCCGAACTTAATTGACACCCCAAATATGAAAAACAAAACTTTTTGCAAGTGTTTTCTCCACTGCACCAAAAACACTGTATTTGGAAAGAAAAAAAATAAAAGCAGTGTCCAATTATAATAATCACAATTCTAGTGAGCTTTCAGCACTAGTTCAATAAGTATTCAATAAATCACAGCCATCATCATCATCATCATCGTGATACTGTCGGTGGTCTGCCCAGATTTCCCTTACCAGGCTCATGCACTCAATTCCAGCTGCAATGAGTGGTGGCTGCAAGTGGCTCAAGCTGCCCTTCTTGAGTTGTCCTCAGTGGGTAGGGACAACCTTGCCTGTGAGTTAACTTTCCCACCCCAACCCCGCCAGTAACTGACTAATATGTAGGGTTCCAAACAGTGGGCATCTTTGCCTGAGGACAGGGACAACTCTGCTACGTGATTTGTTTTCGCCCCAGGGCAGTCCATGGTTCAGGCCAAGTGGAGACTTTAGCTGAGGGCGTATCTTCACTTGGCTCTTGTCCCTTACTTGTCCTGAGTCCCTTACTCTTTCATAGATTTTTGCTAAAGAGCAGTCACTGAAGAAATGACATGTACCTGAATCTTTTTCTCAGGCTGTGTTTAGGGAACTAAGCCTGAGATGTTACTCCATGAGGTAGTAATAATGACTTCTGAAGACAGGGTTTTACTCTCCAACTATCTTTCCCATTCCTCTTGTCAGCAGCACCCTTTTCCTCTGTAATATGTGGGCCCAGTGGTGATGTCAATCAACCTAGCCTCACCCCCTCCCTCTTCCTGCTCACCGGTGGTCAGATAATTGTGTGGAAATAGGAAAAGGGAATTCTAAGTCCCTTGCCCAAGTAAGCAAAAGCAAGGTACAGAGGTGGAAACCATTGTGGGAGATAAGACTAGAACCTGGATAAGTCGAAAAAGTGAGGACAGAGTGGGAAAGATGGCTGTTGCATATGTTGTGCTTACCATGTGACAGGCGTCATTCTAAGTCCCTTTTATGTACTACTTCATCCTCCTGACAACCCTGTGAGCTAGCTACCATTATGTCGACTTTATAGATGAGGACAACAAGGCACAGAGGAGTGAAATGACTCACATAAGGCCACACACTTAATAAATAGGGGACCTGGAGTTCTAACCTAATCAGTGTGGTTCTGTGCTGGTAATCAGCTCTGCAAGACTGATTCCCAGACCTCTCCCAGTCACTTCTGGCTGTACATCCTGAGACCAGCAGAGGTAATGACTCACCTCAATGGAAGGAACCACCCCTTGGACACAGCCTGAGAGCAGGAGGTATTCACAGGCCAGTTTTTGTTTCTTGCAAAGCAAGACCAAAGGTCAAATGAAGTCATTTAGACAAGTCTGAGATTGAAGCCAGTTAGGCTGAATGGGTCCTGTCCTTTAGGACTGCTGTGTAAAGACTGGAGCTGCAAAGTCAAGGTCTAGGTTCAAGGATTGCAACCCAGAGACTTCTGGCTTTGGTTATTAGTTCTTGGAGTTCCTAGGAATCAAGTCCATGCCATCTAGCAGGTTGTTTTGTTCTGTTTTCCATCTAGCAGGGTTTTTAGGGAGATGAAATTGCCAGAAAAACCTTGAACCTGTCAGAGAGGAGCAAGCCCAGTGGGTTTTGGCTCCTGTTCTTACTTTCTCTCTCTCTGCAGTTCATGAAGTTCTGTCAGTTCTTCCATTTTTACCTTTCAGCTGGCACAATCCTAGATTTCCTGGGCTTCTGTCCCTCCAGCCCCTCCGGATGCTTTATTCATTATCATAAATTAGCACTTTTGTCATGTCACCTTTTAGCTCAAAATAACTCAGTTGAATCCCTATTGTTAAAACACAGACTCCATAGTCTGGCATTCCAACCCCATCACAATTGGAGAGAAATTTACCTTCCAAGTAATTCCACAAACATCCACCACACCAGATGTTCACTCCTGCCACGTGGATACCTGTTCTCTCTTTCTGCCGTGGCTTGTGTGTCCAAGGCCTACTCTTTCCTGTGCAGATTTCACCTAATCCTCAAGGCTCAGACCAAATTCTGCTTATTCTCTGAAAGAAATCGAATCTAGGCATACCAACTAGAAGTGAATACTTTCATTTATAAACTTCTGTTACATTTATATCTGTTCTACTCCCTTTGAAATTATTATATTCTTCCATTTAGAGATTTGTTTTTTGTAGTGTACATATTGTACCTGCCAAACAACACAAAAACAGTTCTCTCTGTATCTGTGTAACCTCTGCTGTATCTCACATTTGCCCATAAATAACTAGTAAATGCTGTTTTGATCCTTTCAATGTCCACTACTCTAAAATTTCCATGTGCACAACAACACTTACTCAGTATTTTTCGCAGTATTTGTACCATTATTTGCTTCAGAACAATCCATTTTGAAGGAGAGGGTATACACGAAATAAGATTGGTCAAGTTGGAATTTTTGGGGGGGAGGTATAAAGTTATACTGTTTTCATGTTTGAAAATTTTCACTGTAACAAAGAAAGAAAAGTGTGCATTCAAGTGAACAGCCATGAGAATTCACAGGAAGGAAGGGAGTCCATAGGAGGGGGCCATAAGCTGAAGGAAAAATGAGATTAAAGGACTAGAGGATGGCCTTGTTTTTTTGTGTGTGTTTTTATTGATTTCAGAGAGAGGAAGGGAGAAGAAGAGAGACATAGAAACATCAATGATGAGAGAGAATCATCGATTGGCTGCCTGCTACTGGGGACTGAGCCTGCAACCTGGGCATGTGCCCTGACTGGGATTCGAAACGTGACCTCCTTGTTCATAGGTCAACGCTCAACCACTGAACCATGCTGGCCAGCTGGTTTTGTCTTGTTGAGGCCAAAAAGTATGTCTAGTGCACGGGAATGAAAATGCAAGAGCCCTTGTAGATCACGCAGACTCAGGGCGTGGCCATGGGAATGACCTCCTAATGCACAGAGCTGAGGAAGTCCGGACACGGCAGGACAGAGTGTGTCTGGGCCATCGCTAAGGATGAAAAGCACATAATATTATGGCAGGAATTGAGTAGAGAAAGAAGTCCAAGAGCCCTGAGCCCAGGGCCTCATTAAAGCAGAGGAATGGCCTAGATGAACATAAGCAGGGGCACAGGGCGGTACCTCCAGATCACTATGACAGATAGCAATTGCTAGTGTGCCCTTTCTAACTGTCTCTGGTGTTATTTTTCAGTTCTCCAATACTTGTTAGAGTAGAATGATTTTGAGAGGGTTGCTGCCAAGCTCTCTGTAACATCATTTACCTCATTACTTACGGCATTTCTGCTTTTTTCCAAATCTGAAGTGAAGAATAAAGGTGTCAGACATGTGATCATCAGGAAAGGGGACGTTAGCTACATTGTGGTTAGGGAACAGTGTGTCATCCTTCCTAGTCTTTAGGGGATAGAGTAGCAAGAAATTTTTCACTGTATCTCAAAGGGCTTATTTTTCCTTGATAGAAAAAAATTCTTCCCAAAGTCAGTACAATTTTTTCATGCAAAAAAGTGTTGTTTTTGAAGCATCTAGAAGGAAGTACATGTTTACACTAAATTACTTCTTGTTTATTTCTAGATCCTTGGAGAATGGTTTGAAATGTAGAAATACATCTTAATAACTTCTATTAGTCATTCATATTATAGAAATTGTATAGAACAAAGTTTAGCATATCTTTTAGGCTGCAGCTCTTAATTATGCGACTTTATAACATTCCCAAGGTAATTTCCTCATAAGAAAGTTAACTTACTTTTCTATCTTCTATGCATAGTTGACAATTTTTCTTTAATGCACATTCTACAAGAAAAAATATTAAGTAAAAAAATTTAAATACAAAGCCTACTTATTGCTCAATATATATAAAAGTGCATTTCATTTAGTCATTCCTGTTTCATAGCATAGTCACCCATACCCCAGCATTTTACTTCATTATTTTCAATAATCTAGAAACTTTTCCCATTGGTGCTATTTAAATCTTTATTTCCCCTGCTACTTGGAAAAATAGGAAATGGCACCATCTAACTTTGATCACCCAAGTCAGTTCTACAAAATGACTTCTAAAAACCAATAAGAAAAAAATCGCAATATCACTGTATAATTAAAACACCATACTTTAAAAGCCTCTTTGAGTAATTCTGTTATTCAGCATGGTTTTGCCAAGATATAGCTGGTTAACTAGTCCTTTAAATATTAAAAAATATAAATTCTCCATCTTGTTTCGCCACAAAGCTTTAAAAACTTTCTTCAAATGAGGATTTACATTCTTCTTGTTTTGTGAAAAAACAAACAAACCCCACACAACTAGAATATAACTTATATTCAGAAGTTCTAGAATAAAAAATATGAGATTGTGAAAAAGCATTTCAGTGGTTCGTTTTATGACTCCAACATCTCTGTAAAGTAAGTAGGGTGTGAAATGAATACCCCAGTTGTCCTGTGGTACAGTAACAATGAAGAAACTCACTCTGTTTTGGGGGAACAGAGTTCACAGGCTCTATGGAAAAAGTCATACTTTTCTATTTAATTTCAAATTGTTTGATTGGAAACAGATTTGATTTGGCTGGAAAAAAACTTACAACAGTTTTTCAAATTAAGTCTTATTGAATGTTCCTTCCTTCTATCCAAAAGCATCCTTGAAGTTCCCAAGGGGAAAGCTGAGTGGAGGAAAAGGCAAGGTCAATGGGAAAGACTCTACTGCTCAGCTGCGGTGGGAAAGGCGCCTTCAGGCTCACCCCAGGAGGCAGGAGCAGGGAAACAAAAGGCACATGACTGAGCCACCATTCTCCAAATTCTCCTTGCTCCCCACAGCTTGTTTTGTTAGCTTAAGTTTTAATTTTGGAACAATTTCAGATTTACAGAAAAACTGCAAAGATTATACAGAGAGTTCCTGTATACCCCTTGCCCGGTTCCCCCATCACTAGCATCTTACATTATCATAATACACTTATCAAAACTAAAAACCCAACACTGATATATCACTTCTAACTAAACTCCAGATTTATTAAGAGTTCATCAATTATTACACTAATGTTCTTTTTCTGTGCCAAGATCCAGGAAACCACATTGCATTTAACCACCATATCTCTTCTGGTCGGTAACAGTTTCTCAGCCTTTCCCTGTTTTTCATGAATTTGACAGTTTTGAGGAGTACAGGTCAAATATTTTATAGAATGTTCCTCAATTTGGGTTTGTCTGATGTATTTCTCATGGTTGGAGTGAATATGGATTTTAGGAAAGAACACTGCAGAGGTGACACTCTCTTCTTATCGCATCATATCAGCATGTATGTGATATCAACATGGCTTTTACTTAACTTTTATATACTTATTTTTATTTTTTTTAAATGTGTTTTTATTGATTTCAGAGAGAGGACAGGAGAGGGAGAGAGATAGAAACATCAATAATGAGAGAGTCATTGATCGGCTGCCTCCTGCAGGCCCCCCGCTCGGGATCGAGCCGACAACCCCAGCATGTGCCCTGACCGGGAGTCGAACCTCGATCTCCTGGATCCTAGGTCGATGGGCAACCACTGAGCTATGCTGGCTGGGCAAACTTTTATATATTTAAATACATTAGAGAAGGTTGAAGACATGGCTGCTGCTAGCACTAGTTGAAGACACGGGGTATCTTCGTGTGAACTTGGAAAAGGAGCACCTCTGAAAGGACCAATGAGAGAAATGCTCACCCTTTCTGAGCAGCCACAGCAGAAACTCGGCCTAATGGGTACTATAAGCTGACCCTCACCCTCGGGTTATATGAAATCCTTAACGAGCAAGTTATAAACATAAACGCTGGCTTGTAAACAAGTATAGCCAATCTTCACAATCCGGAAAGGTGGTTATTATTATCCCCACTTGACTGATAAAGAAACTGACCTCACAAAAGTCAGCGCATTCAAGCTCACTTGCTAATATGGCAGAGTGTGGATTTGCATCCATGATATTTACTCGGCCACCAGCACCTCTCCCTTCTCCTGGGAAACAGAACCCATCCTTCCTTTGCAGAACTGCTCCCTCAGCTCTGAACACATAGTAGGACAAGTCACTGCTCTCTCCTCCTCAAACTCCCTGATCCCAGCCAGGCACCTAAGGCTTTACTCCTGAATCAAATTGGGCTAATCCCAGACCAGACCCAATGGTCCAGGGAGAGGGAGTATAACCAAGTCAGACCAATCAGGATCCTCCCCCCACGGCTTAGAAATTGGAACTTGAGGGTTGAAGGGTAGTCAGGGCTTCATTCTCTTCACTTGGAAAGCTGAGGGGATGTGGGCTTGGGCGCTGCCAGGGGCCAAGAAGGAGGCCCTGAGGAAGAAGCTAGTAGGAGAGAATGAAGTTGACAGGCAAAGAAAAAAGTAAAAACAGAAGCAAAGGGAACTGGTGGCGATTCACTCATTCCTGAGTCCACTGCATTTCTCCTCTTGTCTTGCTCAAGTGAGACAGTTACATTTCTCTTATGTGAATAACCTTGGTTTCTTATACTGCAGACAAAAATGTTCCCATGAATGTAAAGACCACAGCTTCGCTTCTTTCCACTAAGTCCTGATATTCCCCTTCTGTTAATCTGTTAACCCGCCCCCCCAACTTAAAACAGAATTACTATATTTAAGTAGTTATAAAAGTGGTACATGTTCAATATAAGAAATAAATATACATAAAAAATAAAAATCAACTGAAATTCCACCATACAGAAAAATGTAGGTTCTTTACCTGACTTTGAGCAAACTATTTCCATGATCTAAAGTTGGATATTGCCATCATCCCACATGGCTCTAACCATGAACTGTTAAATCACAATATTCTGTTCTCAAACTAGCATCTTCTTTCCTCTCTCACATGCATTTTGGCATCACTCAGACCTTCGCTTTTCCATTGCTTTCCAAATCTGCCCCCATGGCCTCATTAGCTTCATGTCAGTACATCACCTGATCTGGATCCATCGCCAAGGTTTAGATTGAGCATTTGCATTACTAACTAGCAATCTTTCTTACAGTCTTTCTGGCCCTTTTGGGTAAGCAGATGATGGAAGGGACTGAGAAGTTTACTAGGGGAAAGAGTGAAACCCCACCTCCTTCAGATAACAGCACCCCCTAGTCTAGAGGACAGAGGAAGGAGGCAGCTACCAGAGCCCAATACAATAAGTATACTTAGCGGGTGCATGGAAAACATCCTTGGTGTTTACCATTAGCAGAAATAAACAAATAGATACTTCCAGAATAAAGAGAAAGCCTGAAAGCCTTGTCTCATGTTCAAGTTACTTACCCTTCCATTTATTTCCTTGAAGAAATCTACCTTTTTGCCCTGGTCAGTGGTTACTGGTCAGTGGTTAGAGTCGTCCCTTGCACCAAAGGGTTTCAGGTCAATTCCAGGTCAAGGGCATGTATTTGGGTTGTAGGTTCGATCCCTGCTCCCGATCAGGCCCGTGTAGGAGGCAATCATTCCATATGTCTCTCTCACATCGATGTTTCTCTCTCTTTCTCTCTCCCCCTTCTACTCTCTCTAAAGATCAATGCAAAAAGTATCTTTGATCGAGAATTAACAAAATAAACAAACAAACAAAAAGAAAACTACCTTTTCATCTCTTCCTGATATCTTAACTTTGAGACTTGTTTCACTGAATCTATTTCTCATTTGGTGGTTCTCTAGCTCAAAGCACTAGTGGGGAAGTTTTCATCTGTTCCCTGAGTTATGTTTTCTTCTAGGGTAGATTATTTTCTACATGCTATCATATACTCCTCAATTTCATTATTTATTTTGTTAGCCATGCAGTATTTGCATATAGTTGTTATATTGTCTATTTTCATCTTGATCACCTTACCACTGTCCTTGAGATTTTTTTTTTATGAGAAACGAGTTTTGTGATATTTTATGTCCTGTTCACTTGGTTGCTCTCAGCATTTGACGAAGGCATAGAACTCAAATGAGACTATGCCAGATTTTGTTATACTGTGGGGCTCTACACTCTCTTCTGAGGTTTTGCCATTTTCCACTGTCAGGGTTCACTCTAGCTAATTGGAGGTGTTTCCCATTTCTATAAAGGGGATGTCTTTGGATTGTAGATCTGCCCCCCTAAATCTAGTTTGTAGCTCAGGAACCTGTGTTTCTATCAAAGTCAGGCTACTCTTCAGTTTCTGTTTTCCTTATTTCTCCTCTGTAACCCTTCTCTCTCTCTCTCTCTCTCTCTCTCTCTCTCTCTCTCTCTCTCTCTGTCCATTTCCTATCTTAATCTTCAGAACAGAGTAAAGAACAGGATACTGCTCAATTTGCATCCCCAAATCTGGGAGCATTAATGAAATTTCTTGGAATTGAGTGACTCTCTAGTTACTTCTAAGGGGTGATGGTGGCACCGGAGCATTGCCACGCTGTGCTGATCCAGAATGTTTGATTTCTTTTCTCGGTTGCCACTTCCTTTTTAGACTATGCCCATCTGTTGTCTGGTTGCTCCTGGTGAAAGAATTTCTCTACATGGGAGTACTTTTTAAATTCATTCATTAGATATTGGGGGAGAAAATTCTTAACCCAAAGTTCCAAGTGCAGACTGTAACTTTTTGGGATATTGCTTACTAAGTTCTCAAATATAAATGAACATGAGGGTTAAAAGCCCTCAGGATCAAAGCGACCTGCTTTGGGGGAGGTCTCACTTGACCTTGGATCACCCACAAAGTCCTATCACTCACTCAGAATCCTACCAGGGATGTAGGTGGGGATTTCAGTGAGCGGTTAGAATCCCTTTCTCAGTTTTAGAAGTCAAGGAATCATGTCTAAGAGACCATATCCTTATTAATAGGAAAGTTACACACAAGGACAAAGGGGAAATTGCCCCAGGCTGGGAGGCAAACACTTGGGGGAGGCCTAGGACAAGCGGCACCAGGCTTTCCCTCAGGAAGGAAGCTGTTTCCTCAGCAGCCCTGACCAGCGTGGTCAGCCCTAGCACTGACTGTGTTCTCTATGATTAATTTGTTTTATTCACTCTCATTTTGCTCTTACTTGAGTATATTAATAAGGTGCTTTGAAATTCTAGTACGACTCCAGTTTGCTAGGGAACAAAGGGAAGGATTTGTGTCTAGGTGTGGCCTGTGTTTTTGTCCCGGGCGTGGGGAGAACAGGGCAGGATGGTGCTAGAACACTGTTCCTCTTGGAGTGTGTGTGGAGGCGACCAGGAGAGAAATCCACGGGGAAGGTGAAGCCGGAGGAAACAAGCCAGGCCTTCTAATTCAGTCTCTCCCCACTCCCCTCCCCTCAAAGCTGAGCGCTCTGGGTTTGTTTTTAGTAAGGAAGACGGATTCACTCAGAGATACTAACATTCTTTAGGGCCCCGGGAACCAGACAGCAGTAACTATTCTGTCCTACAGTCTTCATAAAAATGGCAATCTTGGCTCTACAGGGCATTTTCCAAGTAATTTAAATTTTATTCTTATTCTGTCTATATACAGTTCCCATTTAGGATTCTAAAACCCTACTTCCAAGTTCATAAATTCAACTCAGGACCATTCTGAACGCTGCAAAATCCCTTCCGTTGGGGAGGAAACACCAAGGGAAGTCTCCAAACCAAAGCAATTACTTCTTAAGATCCAAAGTGAGCAATTTATTAGCGAAGACCTTAAAACACTGAGAAAGACTACTTAGCTATGGCCACTGAGAGGAGTCCGGTTAGAACAAAAACCAGCGGCTTATTCACAGCCCGAAGCTCATGTGCTTGCTACACAGGCCCTGCGGGAAGCCAGGGGAGGGGCCTTCTCGCCCCAACTTAAAACGATTTTAATCTTTCTCCCCCCATTTCAGATATAAGACAAATTAACTCGAGCCCAACTTAACTGGATTTCACCCAGAACGTCAGGAGCCTTTCCATAGGTTTTCTCGCCAGCACCACAAGGAAACAAGCGACCAGGCGGCGAGGCGAGCGGGG